GCTTACCAGAGCACATACCCTCCCCAGTGTCTATCACCCAGTCACCCCTATTTTTTCTCCTTTTGCTCCTTTTTTCCTTTAGCAGGAGAGCTTGCAATCCTAGGAGAGCAGATCATTGCAAACCAGGGTTGAAGGGTCTTATGGGTCCTGGGGTCTGTGTGTTGCCCTGTTCTCATGAGAATTTATGCCCCAGCATCAGTTAGAGTTCATGTGATTGCAGAACCGTAAGGTGAAGAAATTAGTCTTCGGTTCCCTCGCACTTCTCATTCCCTCTCCCTTTGTACCTCTCCTGACCTGGACTCCTCTGCCACCTCAGTTTGGATCTCACCCCTGGGTCATGCTCACAAAGGGCCTTGCTTTCTCACTGAGCTGTTTCTGTATCCACAATAAACTAATTCCAGGGGGGGCTGCAGGAATAATGCATTTTAATAGGAGTCTCTCCTGAGTGAAAAACCTTGAAGAGCCAAAGAGACTGAGTCTAATAGTGAAAGAGTTGGGGAAGGGAGAGAGGATGGGGAAGGGAGGGTCTGGAAGTAAGGCAGGAGAGAGTGAGTTCCTGGTCGGGCCACACTGCGAGGTCAGGAGGGCACTGGTGCCCTCAAGCATAACTCTGAAAGGGGGTCCTGTGTGGGCAAGGGCACCCCCAGCGCCCCTCTGTGTATGTGAAGGTGGAGGAGGTGGGAGGATGCACAGGTGTCTGGGCCATGTCTGGGCAGCACCTTGTGGTCGCTGTGGGGATGCATCTTGGGGAGGGGGCACTGAGAATGTGTTTGTATTTGAGGTGCAGGTGTGATTTCTATTAGCCTGCAGTGATTTTGCAGTAAGGTGAACTTACTGCAATTTTAAATCCACTAAATGAAAACATTAGGGAAATATATATATTAGAATATGTTCACTATATGGATTTTGAAATCTATCAGGTGAGTAACAAAGCATAAAACCATTATTTTATTTGAATAGCACTATTACGTTATGGTCCAAATAGTGTAAATTGTTATCCTATTTTGCAGATAAGGAAATGGAAGCTCAACCCAGTCAACTACCTTGTCAAAATTTATACAGCTGAGTCTGTACTAGAACCCAAGATTTGGAGGCTCTCCAAACTTATGTGTACTCGAACACACATAAAAGCTTGTTGTTGAATTGACCACATACCACATGTCCCAGATGTAGCAAGGTTCACCAGCAAGGCGTTGTTAGCACTCTTTACAGCATAAGCTTTTATGGCTGGGTCACTCCTGTGTACAAGCAGGGTCAAGGAGACACAGGTGACATTGGAATGTGAATATTTAGGCAAAGAAAATCCATTGGTTGCCTTCTATCCTCTTAATCAACTTATCAGAGCTGAGTATGAGCAACTTTAAAACGAATATAATCTATAATTGCAGACAGTGTAAAATACTAACAGTAGGTGGTAAGGTGGTTTGAAAGTTAAACTCTAAATCAGATGCCATTGCTAAATTTGGCAAATGAAGGAAAATAAGCCCAAGATCCTTATTTAATTTCTTTGCTCTATGAAATAGTTTATGCTTCATTAAAAACAGAATAGAACAATAATAACCTTTTAGCCATCCCTATCTTTGTAAGAAAAGGGGAAAAAGGTTTCTGTTTATTTTCCTAATTTGCATTTAAATAGATTCTTTTTATCATTTATTATATATTAAGAACCAGATTTTTATATTTTCACTGAGTTTTAGCCAGCATTAAAAAAAAATTACTTAGTTTAGTTAAAAGCAAAACATGAAAAAGAAAAAAAATAAAAACCCAAGTAGCTTACATGTAATATCTATCTTCTTAATGAGACAAAACTATGTTAGTTTCTGAACAAAGAGATAAAATTTCATTATTTAGACATGAACTTTCCTCTTGGAGGAATTTTGTTGTTCTATTACATTTTGTTGAACCTACCATTTGTAGCCTCTCAAAAAAGAAAAAAAAAAGACGGATGAAAATGTTTGAAACTACTGTGAAGATATTTTCTTTAGTTTTATTGTGTTTTTCTTTAGATCTTTGGGTCAGTCTAGTTCAGGTGTCTTCCAGAGAGCCCAATTCAAATAGATCAAATCATAAAATGACCTGACTGGAAGGGAGCTTAGAAAGGGCCAGCTGGTCTAGGGATTAGCAACCCCAGAGCCTGTGACCAACTCACTCATGCATTCATTTCACTGAAAAGTATTTATCGAGAGTAGCGGAACTGTTTGAATCAGGTGTCCCCAGGCCCTGGTGGGCATGGGTGAGGGGAGAGGAGCAGGCTGGGTATTGGAGAATGAATGGCCCTATGTGAAGGATAGCACATTACCTCATTTGGAGCCCCATAGGCCCTGATGGCTGCCTTTTAGGGGGTAACTGCCCTGGGGAGCCCAGGCGCAAGAGGTCCCATAGCTGTGTGCAGGAAGCAGGGCAGTGTCCCAAGAGCCTGGCTCAATGGGCACTCAGTGAATGTGCTTTGGGTGGAGTGAATGAATTCTAGACCCTGGGCTTCACTTCTTTGAGCCTGTTTCCCATCTATAAAATAGTCCTGATGGATGCAATGAAGCGTTTGAATGGACATATTAGGTAGAAGCTACATATGAGCAGTGGAAGGACCGCCCCGAGGAACCTCTTCCCTTGACCTGAAAGATTTCAGAGTCCTTAAGGGGGAGTAATAGAGTAGATAATTAGTTAGACCTGAGCTGGAGGCAAGGACAATGATAATAAATAGGTTGCACATTGGAAGCCTGGGGGCACAACATCCTGACCTTGTGGCTTCCAAGACCTTGGGACTGACAGATCAAGAGCCCCGAGTGTAGAACATGCTCTCCTCTTCCACCTCTGCCCCAGGGTAACCCCAGCCCCGCCCCATGGAGAAAGGCTGCCATGAAGGTTCTGGTACCAAACTTATCAGGGTCAGAAACTCCACCCCCCAGCCTGTGAGAGAAGTCCCCCAAATGATTGGAAACAGCCTCCATTAGAGATCACCCCACTGTACATCACCATTCCTCCCAGCCCAGAAAGACCCACTAAATATCCAATCCCAACACAACCTAGGGGCCAGTTCCCCCTCACAGAACCTTGCCTGCTCTCCCCTAGAGAGTGTACTGTTGCTTTAATAAAACAGTTTTCTGCTTTCACTTTGGGCACCAATCTCTAATTCTTTATTGCATTAGTGCCAAGAGCCGAGACACAATGCTTTTTGCACTGACAGACATTTTGAACTCTAACACACCAGACAAATGTCAGGGCTGAGACTACGAAATGCCTCTCTCTGGCTATCGAATAATGCCAATTTTCTCACTGTCATTCTTTTCTTCAAAGGTTAGAAATATAAGTTGCAGCAATGAATATACATACCTTCTGGTGCAGGAGACTCATTAAAACTATTTATTCTGAATGAAAAAAATATATATTTCATATGTTTCCAAATCGTGCTTGAATCTAAAGCAGGAGCTTACCTCCTTTCTGGGAACCACTTATCCCTTGCAAATGAGGAGGAACCCAGAACTGAGACTTGCCCATAGTCTCATAGGGAATTAGTGACAGAACCAAGCCTGGAACCAGCCTAGACCTCATCCTGCTCGGTGCACACATGCCCCTGAGTGCACACACACATGCACGTGTGCATATATGCACACGCATTCTCTCCACTGCCAGAGGCACTGAATGCAACAGAAATGACCGTGACCGTTGCAGAAGGCCAGGCTCGCAAGGGTGCGAGTCGTATACCATTAGGCAGTAGACTCAGGCCCAGAGAAGACTTGAGACTGTCTCTTGGAGAGACTCTAGATTCTGATATCACATGGGACCATCTGATCCCCAGACTAAGTCTTTTTCTTTCTTCCTGAGATATGTGTCACCTCTTTGGAGCACTGCCTCCAGCACAGTTGATCTTGCCAGAATCCCCGGCCCCTGGAGAGCTGCTGGGATGCTCCAAGGTGGAGGCAGAATCTGGCTGAATGGCCTGGGCGCTGACGTTGCGCGAGAAGCTCATTCAGAAAGGTGCACAGTTCCTCCGGTGCTCCCTCCTCTTGCCTGTCCTTTAGCTCCCTTCTCTCACTTTCCACCCTAACTGGCCCCCGTCCAGCAATCCCTGCTCTGTAGCCCAGACCAGGCACCAGGCAATCTCATCATTCTGGGGCTAGCACGTAACTCCACTGCTAATTTGCATATCTAGAGAGTCATCGAACAGAAAATACAGGGAAGGTCACTTCTTGGCCACTGGGATATCCAAGAAAGTATACGGAGTGAGTGCTTTTCATCACAAGTTCCATGGACTTCAGGCGTTTCAGATTTTCATTAACTTTATTGATTCTTTTGTCAATAAAGAAAAGAGATGAGAAATTATTTTAAAATGGGGTTGAGAGGCAGAATTTTAAAGATCAAAAATTACAGAATAAGATTCCTCTACACTCCTCTACACTTCCTTTGTCCTTAATAGTAATTGGGGGCGGGAAGTCCCCATGGGACTGACTGCAGCTGGCTGATCCAGGATAGTGCACACAGCAGATGTTGACCCAGCCTCTACAGGAGCCCCCAGCCGGAAACATCCTCGGATACTCGAAAGTGAAAAGTGATACTTTCATCCTTTCTTTATTATCCAGATAGGTAGCTGGGTGTGATGCGGGTAATGCAAAAGGGAGAATCACCTCCAAATCATGCATGTTTGCCTTCAGAAAGTGATGGGTTTATACTTACGTTTAAGTTGTCACAGCCTTGATGTCTCTCACCTGACCTCCGGGCACATAGTCTCACTGCCCACAGCGCACCTCTGCTTGAAACTCTTGTAAGCCTCTCAAACTTGGCACATCTAAAACAGAACTCACTATCTCCTGACTCCCATCCCAGCTTCTTATCCTCCTCTTTAGGTAGCAGCTGCGGTGGCAACTTTCCTACAAGGACCCAAGGTGCCATGCCAGACACTTGGCTGTTCCTTAGCTCTTCCTCACCCTCCCTCCCCCAAACAACTGTGAGTCTTCATCCCTTTCCTAGGAGCTCTCAAGCTTCCCTGCTTTGCAGACTCCCCTGCCACGCCTCTAAGTCAGGCTTCCAGGTTCCCACCCCACCCTTCACCAGGATTACTGCGACAGCCTCCTAACCCTTCTCTCTGCCCCTCCCGTCCACATCCCACACTGCGATCAAAGCTCACATCACACTTCACTGCTTGGCTTAAAACCTTCCATGCCGCTTGCTGCCCACAGAATATGGTCCAGGTTTCCTAAAGCCTATCTCCAGGGCTCTCCGTGGTCAGCTGTCCCGGCTACCTCTCCAGCCCTATCTTCTCCTCACGTCAGACTTCAGAGGCACAGCTGGGATGCTTTCAGAGCCCTCCACACACTGGGCTGCCCCACGTTCTGCTTCTTTGGTCTCCCCATTGCCTGGAGCTCACATCCCTCTCATTTCCTCTACCTAGCTAATTCCTACTTCAGCTGGGCTCAACTCAGGTGACACCACCTCTGGGAAGCCTTCTCTGCTCTTCCTTGTCCCCACTCCATTAAGGGTGGGTGCTAGCTTGGTAGAACATATGGGACTTTATCTTGATGGATTTTTTTTTTCAAGCCGTGATTTTTTCCAAGTCCTACGCCATGTTGTACTAACATTATATCTGAACCCTTGTCTGCTTTCCACATTGGTCTTTAAACCACTTAAGCTCAAGAACCATTTAGTCACTTTTGCTTTTCCATTGCCTTGGACAGTGCCTGACACATAGCAAGTGTCCTGCAAGTGTTGGTTGACCATAACTGAAAAAGTAAAGTCACTTTGCTGTTTGGAGGGAAATAATAAATGAGTCTGGGGTTCTGCCTCCAGGAAGGCTGGAGCTTCTCTCCTCCATGCTCTACTCTGCAGCTGAGCCCGTCCCCAGTTCAAGTAGAGCAGTCCTCTTTTCCAAAGGCTTCACACCTTTCCTGGCTATATCACTTAACTGCACTTGAATGATAAAGAGGATTTCTTGGCTCAGATACTAAGGAAGTCCAGAGACAAGGCAGAGATCAGGCAAAACTCAGTCAGGGATCTGCCTGTTTCCTGCCATTCTTTTGGCTACACCCTTTCTCTGCTCATGGCTTCACCCTTAAGCTGCCAGCAGAATGGCTGCAACAATTTGAGGCTCAGGGTCACAATGATAGTATCAGAGGGAGAGAAATTATATCTAAAGAAGTAGGGTTCTGTTTTCCCAGAAGCTTCCAGGCAAGCATCCTCCCATGTTTTATTGTACTGAATCAGATAGCATTCCTATTTCTGAGACAATTCCATTGGCTGGGAAATGTCCTACACTGATTAGCTTAGCTCTGGTGTCCTGAGGATGGATAACCCTTAGAGTGATCCCTCCCTTGGAATTGTGGTTCTGGTGAGCTCCCCTTAACGTGTGTGGGCTGCCTGGGAGATAGGTAGAAGCCTAAACAAACAAAGAAAAACAAAAAAACAAGGTACAGAGCTAAGGGGAGGAAAATAGCTCAGTGCCCACTGTGCCAGTCAGAACTCAGCCTAACCTTAAAATCCTCCTCTTCTGGTTCCTGACAGATTATAGCAGAAACCCTGGAATTGGGAGACTACGGAGTTATAAGAAAAGGTGGCTTATTCTAGAGTCGATTCAATAATGTGTGTGGCTGGGCGATGTGATATGGGACAGGGCATGTTAGGGTGCCCTGTTGCTTCCAACAAGGATTTCTCTCTTCTTCTAGTGCAGTAGGGAATGGATTCAGCCTCCAGGTTGTGTCCTCAGCACTTGTCCCTAAAGCAAACATGGGGCCCTTTTGAGGCTTTCTAAATGTTTTTACAAAGGGGAAGTAGATAGGGATAATACAAACAGCTGCTTCTGCCATCTCAGTGATTCTCTTACTCATTTTCTCTTTCTCCCTTAGGCTCTATAGGGTAACACAGAGGCTGATGATACATCCTTACGCTAAAAGTGAGGGCTTTCCTGGGACACCAGGCTGTGGGCCACCCCCACTCTGAGAATGATGACTGGTTCTCACTGAGCACCAGTAGGAGCACTCTTTTTTTCCTTCCAGTAGCTCTGAAAGTTTTGTACTGTTGGACCCATGGCCCTTCTGACTACTGTCTACCTTCTCATCCCCTCTAGATGTTTGACTGGATAAGCCACAACAAGGAGTTATTCCTCCAGAGCCACACGGAGATTGGCGTGAGCTACCAGCATGCCCTAGACCTCCAGACGCAGCACAATCACTTCGCCATGAACTCCATGGTGAGTGGGGGGCCTGTTCTCAGCACTGCCTCTGGAGGCAGGACAGTGGGGGTGGGGGAGCGGGGGTGGGGTAGAAGGAGGAGGGAGGGGTAGAAACAAACTTGAGACCTGAGTAAGAGGGAGGGACTCTGAACAGGAGGACTCTTTAGCACTCCATGGGGATGTGTGCAGGACATGTGGCCAGCCAGCTGTGCCTATAGCAGATTATGGCCCATTTCTGCCTCCGGACTCTGCTTTACTTGGTGAAAGGAAGGTGCTGGGGTTGTAGAAAGCATTTGCTCAGCACAGGACGGTAAGGGATAGTTGCCGGTTCCACTCTGTTGATTTAACCAACATCTTTTGGTCCCTAGCACATGTGAGTCACTGAGCTGGGATGGAGAGGGACCTCAGGCTCACTGGAAATGTTTCATTGGAAATAGTTGAGTGAATCAGGGCTGTTTATACTGGAGAAGGGGAGCCTTAAGGGACATGCAGTTGCTGCCTTTAGATATTGGAAGGGCTGCCTTTGGAGAGAGAAGGCTAGAATTGCTTTGTGTCGGTCTAGGAGGGACCATCTAGGGGAGTGCACTTGGAGGGGGAGGCAAGATGGCTCAGGGAGATGGGATGCATTGGGGGTTAGTGAAGTCCCCAGGTTGAAGAGTGTTCAAGTGGACACTGAATTCACAGGAATATTTGCTAGCTGTGTGGTCATAGGGAATTTACTTCTCTGGCCTTCAGTTTCTTCACTCATAAAATGGAAATAATAGCTACCTTCTAAGGTTGTTGTGAGGATCCCATGAGTCAATTATAAGTCAGTTGGAGTTGTGCCTGGTACATAGTAGATTATCAGTTAATATTGGTATGATAATGGTAGTGATGATGGTGATATAGAAGTCTAGTCCGAATAAAACCTGTGACCCCTTGTAAACCTAACACTTTGGGATACTGTTTTTCCATATGGTTGCCCCAAGACTTTTTTTCAAAATCATGTCTGCCCTTAGAACCCGCTGTATTCAGATGCCTATAGCCTAATTATGCCTCAACTTACCTCCCTCTGTTTTTCTGCCCACTCTTTTTACTTGTGCTCCTTGTCCAAAAAAATAGCTCCACCATTCCCCATATATCTGAACACCAAAGACACCTTCTTATTTGAACCAGTGGTGCTGAGAGGGAGACAAGTGTTAGAAAAATGTAAACATGGAGAATCACAGAGGCCAAAAAGCAAGAGAATTTCATTTTCTACCAGGTTGTTTTAAATACAGTATGTACTAGACTTCATGTACTGAAGAAGAAACAAATTTGGCCTTAAGTTGTTCGGTATCTAGTTGGGGCAATAACCCAATCGTGGTGCAGCTTGATATGTGCAGTGATAGAGAAACGCTGAGTTAACTGAGAACTCTAATATCTCAGTGGTTTAAAGCAGCAGGGATTTATATCTCGGGCCTATCACATGCCCATCACTGGCTGGTAGAAGCTCTGCTCATCACCGGCACCCAGGACTCAGGCTGACCGAGCAGCTGCTGCTTCAGATGCTGCTGGTTGCCCCATACAGGCTGGCTCTGAAGCCTCCACTTAGAGAAGTGACACATGCCACATTCACTCACACCTCATTAGCTGACGCCAGGCATACGGCCACATCGAACTTGCTGGGTGGAGATATATGGTCCTACCATGTGCTGGGGAGGAGAACGTAGGGCATCTGTGAATAGCCCTGATGACTAGGCCAGGGAACCGTAGCAGGGTGGAAGGTAGAGACGAGCATCACGAAATTAGCAGAGAAAGCTAACTGTGGCCGCAGAATAGAAGGTTGTAGGACCAGGCAGGGAAAAGATCAACATGATTTTGTTATCAGTTTTTGCCTACAACAGACTTGTGTCTTCATCTAAATGTAAAGACTCATTTCCTTCCACCCAGTCTCCTATAATTACGTCTCATCCCTGGCTCACTTTAGTCGCAGAGAAGCAAAGCAATTGATCACAGGTGATTAAGAATGTGAACTCAAATCTAGTCAAGTTTGATTATCTGGGTACCTTGTGGACTTCCCCTGGTGCATTTGACAAATTCTGTGTCAGATTCTTCATGTCACCCAACTGCTTGGCCCTAAGGCAGACAGACTCATTTTAATAAGAAGCGAAGACAAACATAATTAGGGAGGTAAGTCTGTCACGAAGCCCCTCAAAACAATGAACTACAAAGCTAAATAGAGCGGTTGGCTTTGAGTTATCCACACCGCTGCTCTTCTCTGTTAATATGGATCGCTGATTGTTAATGGCACAACAAAAACCTTCCTCCTGACAAATTTACTTTTGAAGTTTCCATTTTCAGGACAAAACACAAGGGAGAAACTTTACTGAAGGGAAACATCTTGTGGAGCTGGGAGAGAGAGAAGAGGAGATTTAATATACAATAGCCAGTTAGCTTGTTCAGCGCATCTCGTAGTCTCCCATGGCCGACTGTGAAGGCATGTCGCTTGCAGAGGCCTCCTTGTACTGATTAGGCTGGCTCTCCTCTCTGGCTGGAGGGCGAGGCAAGGGAAACCCCAGGGTTGTTTGATCAAATTGCCTGGGCTCTGTGTCTTTGTTAACCAGTAGGTTTACAGGTTTGTTATTAAAAGCAACTCCCACAAAGAGGGATGTCAGCATCCCAAACAGGTGAAAGGAGGGAATTACAGACTCCTTTTCTCTGGCCTGAGTGATGGATGCTGCTGCCAAGAAACAGATGAATGCAAGCAGCTACTGCTGGAGCCCAGTGACTATAGAATGATCTGCTACTGAGGGCAAGTGGGGATGTGGATTGTTCTGTAAATTCACTGAGGCATTTCTGTTTCTGTTCTTGGAAATTATATACCCACCTATACATACACCCACAAATCTGTCCATGTAAATGTACCTGTAGCGTGCTTTGTTTCAGGTTATAGGTAAGTTCTTTTGGTATTCATTGCTGAAATAGGCCAGTGATTCCATTCCATACCTTTTGGGGAGGTCACAGACCCCTTGAAATCTAATGAAGCTTGTGAGTCCTCTCCTCAGAGTAATATGTAAATGAACACATTTTTTTTTAGATAATTTCAGGGGATTCAAGAGTATCCTAAAGCCTATCAATCAGCCGCCCCAGTTTAAGATCTTAAGAACTTCATGATTTCTTCATGTATTCATTCCACAAATAATTAAGGATCAGATATTGTGCTGGATGTTGGGCATATGGTGGTGAATAAAAGAGAGATGGTCTGCTCCATGGAGGGTTCAGTGGAGAGACAGATGTTTAATAAATAATCTCACAAATAAATATATAATTATAAACCAATAAGTGTTATGTTGGAAGAGTAAGGTATGCTATGATAGAGTATAATAAAAGGAACTCAATTTAAATGGGGAGTCAGGTACATTTTTAATTGACAGTCAACCCTGACTTAAAGCTCATTGTTCTTTTATTGATAGTAATTAACGGTCTGTGAATTAACTCTCTGATGGATCAAAGAACTTATAATTAAAGAATTCCTAGGTATATTGTTTTATAAATAAAATTAATCAACTTGTAATTTATCTGGTTTTTAAGTTTTGTTTTCATGTGTCTAATTTTATATGCTGGTTAAAGACCCAACTCCAGCTGAGGTGACCACTACTGAGAAATAATTGCATATCATTAAATCATGGAAGAAAAGCCAGAAATTTCCTAAGTTCTATCAATGAATTGGTACCAATAAAGGCCATCAATTATTAGCACACCAAGAGTGTGGGAGTGATACCCTACAGAGTAAAAGTACATGAGCAACTCTGAAAGAAAAAGGTTGAAATTGGTTGATCTTTGGATTTTTGCCATAACATGTTTTTTTTTTTACAATTCCCACTGGGAAATTCCAGTTTTTTGATCTTCAAAATAACAACAGCAATGATAATGGTAATACTAATACTAATAATAATATCATCCTTCCTACTAAACCTAGTAGGAAAATATTCTCAGGCTTCTTACAGTGCCGCAGAAAGCCAGGTTTCTTGAGCTCTTGGAGGCCCTTCTCTTGCTTAATTGTGCCTGTTGTTGTGGAATCTGTTCTCACAAATTCTCTTTCCTCTGAGTGTGCTCTTCTCTGATGGGAGTGTGGACAGATGAAAGTAGGGTTGAGCTGTAATATGCAATGTAACAATCATGTAGCCATCCATGTTCTATTTCTTCATGAAAAAGACACAGGAGTAAATCCAAACGTAATGCAGTCTTATTTACAATTCTAATTAGCTGGTTCTTTGGGAAAAAAATTAATTGCTAATGGCTTCTTTCTAGAGTTCTAAAATATGAAATGGTGTTCATTTTCTATTATTATGACTGTGAGGATTCACATTAGTGATAACCATGTGCAGCTGGGTGGTAGGAATCCTTTCTGCTATAGCATGTTTGATAGCTGCTTTAATCCTATTAATTTGTTCACCAGAGGCACATATTGCCATTTGTGTGTAAATCAGATCAATTGCAGCAAAGACTATGGTGTCCTTTCTCTTTGTTTTGAGGGAAAATTACAAAGGAAAAGTCAAATCTGGTACAAGAGAAATAAAGATCCTGAGGCAGGTCTCCTGACCCCAATTTGAGAAGCCTTGCTCTGGGGTCATCTGTCATCTTTGATGCCTGGCATTCCCAAACCATGATTCTGTAGCACTTTCCCAACCCCAAACACAGAGCACTTTTTATAATAACAATGTTTCTAGATTTCAATGTAAATACACATATACACACACTATTGTGGTGTTTAAATAGCCAGTATTTGATCCTGCCATAGCTGCAAAGCACCTTAGTAAACATAGAACCTGTTTAAAGAAGAAAAAGATGAGGAAGAAGAAGAAGAGGAGGAGGAGGAGAAGGAGAAGGAAGAAAAAGAAATCTATCTTATCTGGTGTTCATTTATCTTTATAGCACAATTTTTTTCAAAGAATCACATAGTGAGGGGTGCCTAGGTGGCTCAGTTGGCTGGGCATCCAACTCTTAATTTTGGCTCAGGTCATGATCTCAGGGTCCTTGGATTGAGCCCTACATGG